TTGAAAATGTTGAAAATGCTGAAAATGTTGAGAATGTTGAAAATGTTGAAAATATTGAAAAAATTGAAAATGTTGAAAATGATGAAAATGTTGAAAATGTTGAAAATGTTGAAAATGTTAATTACTGCTCGGTTTCCTCTGCCCAGGAAAACGTTGGAGCTCTTTGGGTGTTGACACGATGGTTTTTGGCTGACGTGACATCCTATGGTAATCGCTGGAGTCTGAAAGTATCTCACGACAGGATGTGTATAGGGATTGCTACTTTAAAGTTGTCATGTTGTTCGGGTATCTCTGAATCAGAGTCGAAGCCTTTGGGTATTGAGATGGCAACGTGATATACTGGTTCTTGGACTGCTTTTCGTAACAATCGTTAAACTCAGCATGTCTGTCGATACGAGTACATCTGGGTATTAACATTTAGGCGGCCTGAGTTATGTCAAGATATTTATTCGGAGAGGCATTGTCTGCCCTAGAGGAGCTGTGTCCTATAATAGGGCTAGGGGTTCAAATTATCCTCTTCTTTGGCAGTGGGATGACTCTGTAAGCAATTAGAGTCACATGCAATCCGCTAGAAAACAATAGCCCTCTCGCACATATGTCTATTACACCAGGACGAACCTAGAATATACACAAACACACACAATTAAATCAAAAACAGTTGGTAATGTGCCAGAGACACTGCTTATACAATGCTACACATCAATGCAACTTTACAAAGGTAACGCTGGATGTTTGGGCGAAATTCTATGACCTTGACGCTTTGTAATGGTTGAAAAAAAAAACAAATTTAATATGGTGTATTCAATATGACGTCGGAATAAGTTGATAGTTTGATAGGAGATACGATCATCCTTGAACGCTTACGCTTACGCTTTCAATTTTACTTTATTGGGCGGCACCGTTTTCTTTGTAAGTTTCATTGTGCATTTGAGTGAATCTTTGTATCTAATTAGAAAAAAACATTGCAAGATTTCTGTTTTCGATATCACAAAGCCTTCCTTGACCTGTTTTGTCCCAAAGCCTCGCCTTGCAACTTATTAAACTTTTTTTCTTGCAAATTTTGAATCCGACCGAATGAACCAAGAAGGTGACGCGTTCTCCCATCATATCGTCGCAAGTCGCCTTGCTGGGTGAATTGTGTATGCTGTTTCAGAGGGTTCAGGCTTGATGCCAAAACGGAGGGTTGCAATGCTTGTTTAATAATTCGACTCTTTGAAGACAAATTGGCTGCGCACTTCACATATCCAATCTAGCTTCACACAGCGTTTGCTGACGATGGATAGCGACTAGTGAAGCTGAAACTGAAAGCAGCTGATGTATGTCAAGCTAAATGGCGGAATTGAGTTATTCAATCGTGAGGTGATAACGTCATACACACATGAGACGGTATACGAAGAGCTTGGGACAATAAGGTGCCTAAGTCACATTGACTTTATCTCAAAAATCCAAGCTTATAAGCTTTATGTAAATCCTGAATCAAGATTCTTGCTTAACTTTGGTTGAAATGTCAATACTGTGGCTCGGTGCTTTATTGAAAGTTACCAAAATTTGCAAGGTTTTCAGTATCTACAAAATGTTCAAAATTTGCATAATTTTCAATATTTTCACGATTTCCGAGATTTTGATGATTCTGAACATGCTGAAGATTTTGTTTTGATGATTTTAAAAACTTCGGAAATTCTCAGAATTCTCAAAATTTACTGCGATATGCAAGTGTTACTTGAGGATCTCTCAAAGGTGCATTACTATTCCAAAGGTTAATCAATCCTCAGTCGGCATTAAGGCACTAAACCTGTTGTCGAAGAACGTAATAAAAAAACAGTGACTTAATTAAATGTGCGAAACACACGAAGAAAGTAATATAAGAATATCTTATTTTAGGTGATTACAAAATAAATTAGGCATCTCGCTACGACATAAAATGCAACTCAACACCGCCACAGCCGCCATTCCGGCTCCAGCGGTAGGTCCAGCACATTATCTTAAGAGCTTTCTTGCTTTTGCATCTGTTTCGAATTCGTTAAAGCGTCCAACGTCGCCGCATTAAACATCAAACAAAATTGACGACGTTAGTTTCGGTGTGATGCGTGCAGTGAAAAAATAACTCATTGTGTCTTATTAGAGGAGCATTACTCAATCTTTTAAAATCTTTAACGTTGTACCAAATCATGAGCGACATTTTTTAAAGTAAGAACCGTTTTGTAACGGAGTCGGAGAAGTTTTATTTATGAACGTAAATAAAAAATTGTCGGATATTACAACAAGCTCTAGTCTGGCAATTTATTCTTGAATTTATGACAACAATTTTTATGTTTATATGGTCCAACTTCTTCAAGGTTAAAAAGTTGTTCAATTTGTTGGATCTTTAAAACTGATTTTCACCATTTTCAAGAAGGCCGAACTTAAAAATGTGTACTGAGCTCAGGGGTTTATGATGATACAATAATTTTGAAAATGTTGAAAATGTTGAAAATGCTGAAAATGTTTAATATGTTGAAAGTGTTGAAAATGTTGAAAATGTTGAAAATATTGAAAATGTTGAAAATGTTGTAAATGTAAATGTTGAAAATGTTGAAAAAGTTGAAAATGTTGGAAACGTTGAAAATGTTGAATATGTTGACAATGTTGAAAATGTTGAAAATGCAAATGTTAAAAATGTTGAAAAAGTTGAAAATATTGGAAACGTTGAAAATGTTGAAAACGTTGAAAATGTTGAAAATGTTGAAAATGTTGAAAATGTTGAAAATGTTGAAAATGTTGAAAATGTTGAATATGTTGAAAATGTTGAAAATGTTGAAAATGTTGACAATGTTGAAAATGTTGAAAATGTTGAAAATGTTGAAAATGCTGGATGTAGACAGAAATGGAAGGACCTCTGAATGTTGAAAATGTTGGAAACGTTGAAAATGTTGGAATTGTTGAAAATGGTAAAAATGTTGAAAATGTTGAAAATGTTGAAAATATTGAAATGTTGAAAATGTTGAAAATGTTGAAAATGTTGAAATTGTTGAAATGTTGAAAATGTGGAAAATGTTGAAAATGTTGAAAATGTTGAAAATGTTGAAAATGTTGAAAATGTTGAAATGTTGAAAATGTTGAAAATGTTGAAAATGTTGAAAATGTTGACAATGTTGAAAATGTTGAAAATGTTGAAAATGCTGGATGTAGACAGAAATGGAAGGACCTCTGAATGTTGAAAATGTTGGAAACGTTGAAAATGTTGGAATTGTTGAAAATGGTAAAAATGTTGAAAATGTTGAAAATGTTGAAAATGTTGAAAATATTGAAAATGTTGAAAATGTTGAAAATGTTGAAAATGTTGAAAATGTTGAAAATGTTGAAAATGTTGAAAATGTTGAAAATGTTGAAAATGTTGAAAATGTTGAAAATGTTGAAAATGTTGAAAATGTTGAAAATGTTGAAAATGTTGAAAATGTTGAAATTTTGAAAATGTTGAAAATGTTGAAAATGTTGAAACTGTTGAAAATGTTGAAAATGTTGAAAATACTATATATATATCGTTGTTGAGGACTATCGTAGACTGCAAATAACTTTAATACCTGTCAATTTGTAATGAGTTAAGCCCTACTTGACCAAATAAATTTATCTCCAAGAGCAATTCAGAATTTTTTCGAATAGGAAGACGCATCTGACACAGTCGTAATGGAGAAACAAAAGTTTTACGCATTTGTCTCCATATGGACAGGTTTTTTTTCAATAAGGTCTAAGCAAAAGTATTTTGATTTTATGTTAGGAAAATGCGTTATATTTTTCAGACACCGTTGTCCTAAATTTTGAAAATCTTGAATGTCTCCAAAATTTTGAAATATACTGGCAATTTTGAAAATTTTCAAAAGAAAAATTTTGATAATATTGAAAATTTTGGTTGTATTGAGAATTTTGAAAATCTTAAATATGTTGAAATGTTAGAAATTTGGGAAACTGATAATTCTGATAATTTTGAAAATTGCATTCTTTTCCTGATTGTGGGTTAAAGAGGAGAACACGTCAATTCGCCTTTAAACAACAATTCTTTAGGAATATTGACCAAATTTCGCGCTTGACGTGATTATCTATGGTTTCCTGGCTCATTATTCATTCTTCCTTTTACCATTAACGCTAAATTACCTCTTCTGTATACCCGCTAAGGCCACTTCTGTAGTAAGCGAACTGCTCGTGTTAATATTACATAGTATAATATATGGCTGGTCGCGTAACAATCCCCGTTGCATCGTCCAAAGTGTTCGCAGCCTTTGAACCTTGCTTGCTCCGTACAGAGACTCAACTGAAAAGAATGAAAAAATAAAAAATCCCTTTGTGCTCTTTTCGCGTTAGTTAATTGCAATTTTTCCCGGTTATATCACAATAGATGCGCATTGGAGTTTCGAGTGCCTTGACCCTTACTCGTTCCATAAACAAAGCTGGAAATTTTCACATAGGCAATTAGCAAATACCAAGTCAACCCAACAAAAAACATTGTTAACTAAATAGGACCTTTATCCGCTACGTAATTGTTAAATGATTCTTGCAATCTAACTGAGCCTCAAACTACATACTCGATATGGTTTGAAGTTTGACAAATTTTGGGAATTTAAAAAACAATAAAACATAGCCGACGGGGGACCTGGAGGTTATCACTGATTGGAGAGGCAACAATCTGATACAGTATAGTGCTTCCCAGAAGCAATTATCTCGCCACTAATGAGAGCGACATAGAGAAGCCTACTTTAATTTCAATTCCAGTAATACCTTCCGATCAATTAGCAGGAACTGCTTTTTGTCATCACTGATAATTGAATCTTCTCCCACGTTAAACGTTGAACAAAACAGCGGAAAAAATCAAACAAAGAATCTGGGTTGCCAGAGGCAGAAAACGAGTGTTTATCGCTTCTTCTAGGTTCTATTGATTTTATGTTAGCCAATATTATTTTTGCACCTTTGTAAAACTAGAAGTCAATTTACAGACTTTGACCAAGGAATCGGATTCAGAAAATCAACAACACGCAGTCCTGAACGTCTGAAAAAGCGATCTGCATACACTCCCGAAGCCTCGGTAGCACTTTGAAGACATCATAAATTAAAATCACATCAATCAATCTGGTGTTAAGACTTTGCTTTTTCAGATACATCTGCAAAAGATGTTTAAAAACATGTTTGGTCCAGACGCGAATGTTTAGATATTCATATTCGTTGCAGGATACAGCCGTTCGAGGTTGACCAGACTGGTTCCTGGATATGGAGAGCCTTGTTTTGAGGAGGACTACGTCAAAGAGGTGGTGGCACACGTCGGGCAGACTGTCCTTCTACCATGTGCAGTTAAGAATTTGGGGACCAAAGTGGTATGTAAACAGTAACACTCCTAACAATATGATGAACTAGTTCAATAGGCCGCGTTTAAAGACAAAAAAGTGTAAGACCGTTTTGACATTTCAAGAAATGTATTTCTATTGGACTGGATGGTTATTGAACTTAAGGTTTCCTCCAGGTATCTTGGATGCGTTCTAAGGATGTCCACGTCTTGACTGTAGGCAGCTTCACGTTTACAGGAGATACACGTTTCGAGGCCGTCCATACGGACAGCTCGGAAGAATTTTGGGGGCTTCGTATAAGAGGTGTGAAGCTAGAAGATGCTGGGAGATACGAGTGCCAGGTTAACACCGAGCCTAAGAAGAGTTTGGGTATCGTACTCAAAGTTGGTGGTAAGTTGACAATGATAAATTTGTTTAAAATATTTCCGGAATGTCAAAATTCTTATCACTCAAATATTTTTAGCATTTTCAAACATTTCTTTTAAATTATTGACTGCATATATCGATTTTTGTTAATGTTTGAAATATTCAGAATCTTCATAACGTAGATTTTCACAATTTTGATTATTACAAAAATTTAAAAAGTATTCATAATTTTCAAAATTTTATTTCAAGTTTTCAAAATTTAAAAAAATTTCGAAATATACAAGATTTTAAAATCTAAAAATTTTCAAAATGTTCAGAATTTCTAAATCAATGAACATTTTCAAGATTCTCAAAATTTCCAGGATTTTCAAAATTTTCCAAATTTTCAAAATTTTCAAAATTTTCCAAATTTTCAAAATTTTCAAAATTTTCAAAATTTTCAAAATTTTCAAAATTTTCAAAATTTTCCAAATTTTCAAAATTTTCAAAATTTACCAAATTTTCAAAATTTTCAAAATTTTCAAAATTTTCAAAATTTTCAAAATTTCCACAATTTTTCAAGTTTTAAAAATTTTCAAAAAACATGTATCTGCGCTGGAAAAATATTACATATTAAACTTGGTTGCCTTTGAGGCTCCAAACTTACATTCTGCCCACTTCTATGTATTTCTATCATATAATATTGTGACCATGGTAATTACTCTCACAAAAAATAGAGTTCACCTGGATATGGGGCAACGGATGTGTAATGAGTATTATTAATTAACCTACTATCAGTAGTCCCGGTAATTGAATTCACTGTAACTAAATCAGAAAATAATTTCCTGTCAATATTTCGCTACAGATTCGCCGACCTGCACTGAACTGAGCTGATATCTGTCTAATTATTGTCATATGTAAAATCCTGTTCGACCATAAACCGTTGCTGGGTAATTGTGGCCTAAATTAACAGTACGTTGGTTAAGCTGTGATAACGTTGGTAATTAATACAATGTGTACATGAAAGGAATGTAAACGACTGTTGATACTGAGATTAGGCGAATCTGTCCAAATCTGGATTTTTAATCTCATTGGCACTACCCGTACTTTCTTTACTACTAAGTGTAAATAGTAGCTTAGATATCCATGATGCCGCAGTAGATGCATAATACTTTTTTATCCACGATTATACGTTTATCAGTTGGAACATTTAAAACTTGAAGCTTAAATCTACCTCTACATTATTAAATAAATGTGAATGCCTGTTCAGTCTGCCAGCGTCACGACTGAACCACAATTGAACTGCACACAACTGAAGCTTGAAAAAGGCTATGAGGATGGCTTTATCTGCGAAAATATACAGGGTGTTCATTCACTTTGAGTAGATGAAAATATCTAAAAAAATACCTCCCCTAGCCATTCACATTTTATATATACATACTCGTATATAGATATATTCAGGTGCGGATCCTAATATTTTTCCTTCGTCTGTTTTCAACATTTCACAACATTTTGCGCAAACTGGATTATCCGAAAAACTGTAATTTTTCTTTGTCAGTTCGATTGCGGTCCAGCTGACAATTCCGGCACGTTGCGGCAAATTTTACATATGCAAATTTAAATTTAATAACATCTGTCCGGTTTTTATCGATCAGCTATTCAAAACATTGCGACCAAAATTACCAACTGTTAATTGCTCTAATGACGTTGGGCTTTTAATCGCTGGCCCCATGATAAAATGCTATTGTCGACTATGCTTCACTTTTAATAGGGTGATACTGTAATTATTACATTTATTGTTTAACTTTTATTAATGAGGCGATAACTGAGTGTAATCAGCCTTTTTGCTGTTTGCAGATTTCATGAGTGCAGCATTTTAATTCTGCACTTCTGAGATAAAAAAATAGCATCGACAGCCCTTTCTCTTGATTACTCCAAAGTTTTCGACAGTATGAATCATGACATTTTATTTGCTAAATTAAAATATTATGGGTTTGATAAGAACCGCATCATTTTTCCGTTATACCCAAATAATATAAACAAATGTATTTCTCCAAAAATTGTTGACTTTATTGAAAAATAGAATCCATAGCAACTCTTTTAGTTCCAGGTGAGGTGGACAGTGACATGACATCCAACTACGTGGGTGAGGCCACAATACACAGCCCAGCTACCATCTACGCCCAGTTAGGTTCTCCCATCACCATCAGGTGTTCAGTCATTCCAATTTCTACCTCAAGGACGCTGTTTTTCGTCTCAAGGCCACCAGTGCGATGGTTGCTTGACGGGCGGGAGATAAGCTACGAGGTGAGTTCAAAAAGGGGACTTTTCTTTGCACACACGTTCATCAAAGCCTTATATTTATTGCATCCACTTGTCATAATGAATCACCCTGTACACATTCAATACGGTGTCTTCAAGATGCGACAGACATTTGGCGATTGTACTCAGAACGGTTTTGCCATTGCGAAGGCCTCGAAAAAAAAATATGGAACGCTACCTGACAATAAAAATAAAAAAAGTCGTCAAAGCAGAGAATACTAACTCAATGCACCTTTTTCATCAAAGATAAGAGCCGCGCTAGAGAAGCGAAATTATTTTCTCAGCCATAAAACGCGGATATACAAAAACCCCACCACTTTTACTATAATATAACAGGAAATGGTCTCGGTGGGAAAACTCCAGGAGTACGGAGAGACAAAAGAAGAGAAAAACTGAAAGGTCCAAGGTAACAAAAACAGACTATTCGACTTTCCTATCTGGAATAACAAAGAAGTGCTTTTTGTTGTGGCTTTTTCAGCATTTAACACCTGAAAGGCCGTAATGTTTTGTTCACGTCCGTCAGTCCACTGTTTTCGTTTAGGCACGACGTACGTTAGCCAAGGTATTCTTTAGAAGAGGAGTAGTAATATCGAACTACGATGTAATGACACCATTAAGCAATATACTAAGAAAAATCTACAATTTGAAAAAATATAATAAATTAATTTGTCGGGTTCCAGTATTAGCAGGCATCATTAATAAATTAGCTAGAAAATTCTGTTATTATTGCTGAAACAAAAATCTGAGGAATTCAATTTAGATTGGAGCACACCTCAGGACAGCGTTTCTGGACCACTTATTTTCTCGATTTTTCTAAATGATTTACATGTACACTTATCTTACGGAAGATCACCTTTGTATGCAGATGACTCAACTACTATCTTAGCTGACTCATCGCAAGAACGTCCTCAAGAAAAAAATAATCGTTCGGTTAATGAGTTCAATCAATGGTGCTTCAAAAACAGACTAACAATGAATACATCAAATCTTGTTTTAGTCGCATATTTTATGAAGCCATAAATTCCATTAAAATTTAATTTAGGTCTTCAATGCAAGACAGTTGTAACTTCTAAAAACGCTGTGTTTTTAGGAGTAAGCTTTGATTGAGACTTAAAATGCACAGACCAAATTGATTCAGTACTCAAGGAGCCTGGAAAAAGTTTGTATGTGGAGCACAAAATACAATGGCATGCATATATCTTTATAAACGTATTATTATTTGTATTGTGCCCCACATTTTATCTATGTCTTAAACTGTTTATACTGACTTATCCAATGTCTACAATGTAGATATAACTGAATCAATAAATGAATCTGAATCTGAAGTAGAATATGATTCTGAATATGAATCTGAATATGAATCTGAATCTGAGAATCTGAATATGAGAATCTGAATCTGAGAATCTGAATCTGAGAATCTGAATCTGAGAATCTGAATCTGAGAATCTGAATATGAGAATCCGAATCTGAGAATCCGAATCTGAGAATCGGAATCTGAGAATCGGAATCTGAGAATCTGAATATGAGAATCTGATTATGAGAATCTGAATACGAGAATCTGAATATGAGAATCTGAATATGAGAATCTGAATATGAGAATCTGTATATGAGAAACTGAATATGATTAACTGAATCTGACAATCTGAATCTGAAAATCTGAATATGAGAATCTGAATCTGAGAATCATAATCTGAGAATCTGAATCCGAGAATCTGAATCTGAGAATCCGAATCTGAGAATCTGAATCTGAGAATCTGAATCTGAGAATCTGAATCTGAGAATCTGAATCTGAGAATCTGAATATGAGAATCTGAATCTGAGAATCTGAATCTGAGAATCTGAATCTGAGAATCTGAATCTGAGAATCTGAATCTGAGAATCTGAATCTGAGAATCTGAATCTGAGAATCTGAATATGAGAATCTGAATCTGAGAATCTGAATCTGAGAATCTGAATCTGAGAATCTGAATCTGAGAATCTGAATCTGAGAATCTGAATCTGAGAATCTGAATCTGAGAATCTGAATCTGAATCTGAGAATCTGAATCTAAGAATCTTAATCCGAGAATCTGAATCCGAGAATCTGAATCTGAGAATCTGAATCTGAGAATCTGAATCTGAGAATCTGAATCTGAGAATCTGAATCTGAGAATCTGAATCTGAGAATCTGAATCTGAGAATCTGAATCTGAGAATCTGAATCTGAGAATCTGAATCTGAGAATCTGAATCTGAGAATCTGAATCTGAAATCGGAATCTGAGAATCGGAATCGGAATCCGAATCCGAATCCGAATCCGAATTTGAATTTGAATTGAATGTGACTTTGAATCGGAATGTGAATCTGAATATGAATCTGGATCTGGTTTGTTTCCATTATGTTTAAGGGAGTGACTGCAATGTATTGGGAAACAAGGCTTTGACTATGAACCTGATGTGCTCAGCACGGAACTTGACATTTTTTTAGAGAATACGTTATTTAATGGTGTTTGACCCATACCTGAAACATGGATTTATTCCGAGGTGGCGGTTAAATCTGCATTTCTTTGTTTCAGTTCAAAGAGGGGAACAATGTCACCATCCATACAGAGTACTCGCAAGAGGACCAGAAAATCACCAGCGAGCTTAACTTAGCTTCTGTGACGTGGCGAGATGCCGGGAAATATACCTGCATGCAACCATCTTCAAAATCGGACAGCGTGCAGCTTATTGTTGTTGAAGGTGAGAACAACTTCTGTACGATATTTTAGGTCAAAGGAAACTATGAAGTGTATCAACTCAGCCACATATTTGGATAGACAAAATTTTCTGGAACAATATTGATCAAAAATTTGAGTAAAGCTTATTTTGTTATACTGTAGATAAGAGATTTTCTAAGCGAAATAGCCGTAGTGAATAAATATTATGCACTGGCCTATAGCCACATATCTTACATCATTATGGTAAGGAGGAAATCATATGAAATGAGAGTATTTGTGGATCAAAGAAGAAACATCAGATTAATCTTGGGAATAAAGCCACTTGAATACTGCATAGAAATTCTCAAGTCGAGAGAAATTCTTGATGTGTATTGCACTTACATTTTGAAATGCATAACCTATGTTAGGAACTATAATAGTTTATTTCCAAGAAATCAAAGTTTGAAAATAGTCCAGAACCACATTACCACCTATTTCAAAAGATCAGCTACAGATAAAGCTGCTTCATGTTATCAGTTTAAATTGGTAATTATATTTCATTTCTAAAAGAAGTAATGGAATTATTACGAGCTAGCACTTGAGTATAGAAGGCCGGTATCAATAGTTGTTCATTCATTGATACGTACTGTGGCATTTTTATTGATCTTTATTGTTTTGCATTATTTTTTTCATTTCCTTTTCAAGTGGATATGAATAAAAAATAAACAATATTCGTATCCCTACTAAAATTATAAATCATAAACGTTGGATGTTTGTTGCTCAGTCATGATGTTTAAGTTCAGGATTTGAGTGTTTAGGAACAGATATAATTAAGGCCAGCTTCCACTGCTTCGGGTGGTATCCTTTTTCTTACCAAACATCTATTATGTGAGTGATATGAAAGGAAGACATATAAGTAATTTGATAACAGTGATAGTGTCAATTCACTTATAGATCATTTTGAAGTCGTATTTGAGGTTATCAACAAAAAACTTTTGTCACCATTAGAGGGCAAAGAGGTTAAAATTTATGTTGCATGTTTTATAAATTCTCAATTTCGGAGCGCCTGACTTTGACATTTTTTCTTTCCAGGTGAACATTCGGAGGCCATGCAGAGGGACTCGCCATTGCATTCTAGTGGAGGACGATTTAACCTTGCGTGGCTTTATATTTTAGTTATCCTTAGTACAAACATTTTATAATTGTCAACTTACCCGTGTAAATATCATCAATATATTTTATTTTTTTAAGTATTATCTGCTTTTATCATTTTCACCTATTAAGTTAAGGTAATCTAATTACATAATTAGTAATAAGAAATTACAAAAAAATTGTAATTTCCAAAAGAAACTTTTCCCCATATTGCCTCTGAGGTCCAACGATGTGCAATTAAGTGGTCTTTTTTTTTCTCGTAAACTAAGCAACACCCAGAAGTAAACAATGCCACCCAGAACGAAACAATGCTTGACTAATATTAGATTTTCGTTATGTTTGTGTCCTAATATATCAAGAACATAATACCTTAACTTCACCTACAACCCCAGTCGTATCCAGCATGATCCCGGTAAGCGTGCTCAGGTTATTACGACACCAAACAAGACTCCTCTCTGTCTCCGGATCCAACCGCCTAATCCAGCCTAAGATACATTATTGCCCAAGCTAGCTGTTATAATTAAATTTGGGGTCAATATCTCGTAAGTTACAGTTATTGTTAATTAGGTAGAGCGAGGCAGTTACGGGGCGGGAGGTGGCGTACACGGTAACCGCAATTTATAATTTGCACCTAGTATGTTGCCGCAACTGGATCAGCGCTGTTACGGAAGCGAAAAATTTATTGCCTCGTAAAGCAACTGCCTTTAAGTGTTGTTAACAAAATTGATATTATGTTCTACAGTGCTCTAAGAGCCTCCATAACAGCGTCCGTTGCCAGACTACTGTATTAAAATATGTAATTAAACTTTTAATAATTCCAATTACAAAATTTAATCAACAATGCAACAGCTAACAAGTTTAATTAGCTTGACTAAAATCCGATTACGGAAACAGTTCACAAATTCAATTAAATCAAAATACATCATTTAATTAAATTTACCAAACCATTTACTTAAATTGAGTACAACAGTTTATTTAAAGTAAATGAATTATTAAAATGACTTTACCTTCTCCAAGTAAAACAATTTAATTATATGAATTAAAGTTATTTGCCTATAAGGCACTTGGAAACATTTATTTGGGCGAACTACTATTATAAATAAATAGATTAAAAAAATCAACCAACTCTGTGACGCTAACACGCTTAATTAGTTTAATCAATCTCCGATTTCTGAAATAGTTTACTTGTATCTACGAAACTGTTTTAGTTAAACCAAAATGAAATCGTTTGATTAAATTCATTAAACCGTTTACTTAGATTGAGTACATCTATTTATTTAAAATTATTGAACTATCAAAATGTGTTCACGTTATCCGAATAAAAAAAATTAATTTATGCATTAAATTTGTTTATTCTGCACTGAGAAAAAATCTACTCAAACCAACTAAAAGTTAAATAAAACCAATCTCTCACTCTTGGCTAGTTTATCACTACACCTCCATTACAGTTTACGACTCTTTCGGTGCTGGCAGTGTGATTATATTGCACGGTGAAAAAAATTTAATCAAACTAATTCAGCTTTTAATAATTCCAATTACAAAATTTAACAACAATGCAACAGCTAACAAGTTTAGCTAGCTTGACTAAAATCCGATTACTGAAACAGTTCACAAATTCAAGTAAATCAAAACACATCGTTTAATTAAATTTATCAAACCATCTACTTAGATTGAGTACAACAGTTTATTTAAAGTTAATGAATTATTAAAACGATTTTACCTTCTCCAAGTAAAACAATTTAATTATATATATGTATATATATTAAACTTGTTTGTCTATAAGGCATTGGGAAAAATTTATTTAGGCGAACTGCTTTTATAAATAAACAGATTAAAAAAATCAACCAACTCTGTGACAGCTAACAAGCTTAATCAGTTTGATGAAACTCCGATTTCTGAAACAGCTTACTTGAATATACGAAACTGTTTTAGTTAAATCAAAATGCTTTCGTTTGATTATATTCATTAAACCGTTCACTTAGATTGATTTACTTAAAATTATTGAACTATCAAAATGTGTTCACGCTTTCCGAATAAAAAAAATAAATTCATGAATTACATTTGTTTATTCTGCACTGAAAAAAAAATATTCAAACCAACTAAAAGTTAAATAAAACCAGTCAAAAAATTCAATCAACTATGTGACAGCTAAATAGTTCAATCAGTTTAATCACACTCCAATTTCTAAAACGGTTTACTTGAATATCGTAAACTGGGCTAATTAAATCAAAATGCAATCGTTTGATTATATTCATTAAACCATTTACTTAGATCGAGTACATCTGTTTATTTGAAAATAATGAACTAATAAAATGTGTTTATATTCTCCGAGTAAAAAAACAGTTTACTTGAATCTGTTAAACTAGTTCAATTAAATCAGAATGCAATCGTTTAATTATATTTATTAAACGATTCAGTTAGATTAAGTACCCCAGTTTATTTTGAATATATGAATTGTTAAAAGTTTACCTTCTCCAAATAAAATAATTCAGTTATATGTATTAAATTTGCCTGATAAGTCTACATAAAAAAGCGTTTACAGTCACGTAGCTCTTCCCTTGTTCAGGACCGCAAGCACACCTTGAATACTTCCAAATATTTTTCCGCTCCGGGACAGTTGGATCACCCTGTATAATGGTCACATTTGACGCATTCATACAATATCTATGATTATGATGTAACATACACGAATGGCTAAGTGGTAACGTGCATGAAACGTGAAATACAAGAGAGGCGTGTTGTAATTATCTCGTCCATCGGCCAATATGTTTTATTTTAATATCGTGTAATGGAAATGTCACGACTACTGCAACGATTTATAATTGATGTTGGAAAAATTGACGATAATAATGGCTCTCAATTATTCTGAAACGCTACGCATACAATCGTGTACGTGCTGTTATCAAGCAGATATCCTGTACAGGGATGATTATAAACAATCGTATGCATTCACACATATTGCGAGTATGCGATTTCTGCAATATTCTGCAGCTGGTACTGTCAGATTGGGCTTCTTTGCGTAGTCGCATTGATCAAAATCGCACAATCTTGCAATTAATGCACCAAAGTCCAATGTAATGTTATTTTGCTCTGAACCTAGGAGGAAGGCTGCCGTATCTTGTTATCGGTAAAGAGGTACAGAAAACACAAATTCCCCTCCATATACAAAAATATTAGGAGTTGCTGTCGACCAGAGACTTACGTTTACAGACTACGTAAAGAATCTCCTGAAGAAATCCAACCTTCGACTCCGTGCTTTATATGCTAATACGCTTATCCTGAACTTCAAATTGAGGAAAAAACTCATCATATATTTTGTGATTAAGTGTAAGAATAGCCCATGGTTTAACTTCACACTAGTGTTAGATCTGATGTATGTGTATGTACTTAATAAAGACGAGTTTATTATTATTATTGTTATGCTGAAGATCCGCGTAGACATTTGAACTGCATAAGGTCAGAAGAGCTGAGAAACGCCTTCTGAGGCAGATTATTCCACAATAAGTATCATTAGGCGACAATATTTCATCACTTGAGCTTTCAAAATTCGGGGTACCACAGGGATCTGTCTTAGGGCCACTACTATTCACATTATATACCTCAAATTTTACCAAGGTTGTTCAAAATTTGAAAAATATTGACCTACGCCGATGATAACTAGATGCATTTATCATTTTACTTAAATAATTAAGAAAATTCTACCTCACTCATAAGCAAGGATCTGGAAATAATCTATAATATTATGCAAACGACAATGCTCTTAGATGGAACACTGAAAAAACCCAAATGATTTTTTAAAATTCTCCGACTGTGTCAAAAACATCGGATTATAAAATCTGGCGTACCACAAGGCTCTGTTTCAGGGCCCCTACTATTATCATTGTTCAAGTTTGACCAATGTTGTTCAAAATTGTAAAATAATGATCTACGCCGATGATACTCAAATGTATCTATCATTTCGTCGAAATAATTATGAAAATCCTACCTGACTTATAAAAAAGGATCTGAAAGTTATCTATAATTGGATGTAGGTGTCATGTAACAAAATCATTTAATGGAGAAAATTGACTTTAAACATTTCTCATAGGGAATTTTTTCTTTATTGACATTTTAAATATTTAGTTCAATTAGTTTGTTATTATCTTGTTTATGCTACAAAGTAATCACAGAATGAAATAATCACTCCTTAAGTTTAATGCAAAAAAGCAATTATCAAAAAAAAATTACGTGACACTTGTGTATTCAATTATTAAGACCATGCTCTACAAAAATTCGAAAAATCCTTGTTGACATCTATCTTGAATTGCCTTCTATCTTGAAATCCTATCATGATGGTACATTTTACATAACTACTTATAGTATGAATTTTTCTTTTTATTCAGCAGTACTTGAAAATTGTAATGTAAGCATATTTTTCACTATATCTCCATAACGAATAAAGATATTTATCTGCTCTTGCCATCATTTAATGGCATTTTTATGCTCTTTCCGATGAAGATTAGAAAAGTATACCGTTTTGTATGAAATTTTCGAAAGAATTAAAAAAAAGCGGTGACACATCCGTTAAACGCTATCTAGTGGCCACAAAGTGAACTGACTTGACAAGACTGACCTTGATTAGGAGCGCAGTCGGTGACGCAAACAGAAGTTATGTTATTCTTTTCAAATGACACTCAGCCCTTCTCCCACCCTGATCGAAACAAACTATGGAAAAAAGACCGTGAGAAAAAAGTTCGAAAATTGAGCAATCAACATAATCGAGTTATTGAATCAGTACGTTAATCACGCATTTTTGCAAAATAATGGCGTTTGATTTTCTTAAATTGAAAATACGCCCCCTGGTGGCCACTTTAGGCGGCAATTTCCCTAGCCACTTCTGTTATTCGGTGGATATTGAAGACCGAATTCCAGCGATAATCCCTGCCAATCATTCTATACGGCTTACCCTGTACGTAGAGCGGGGTAGTATCACGCACCAGTCCCATATATCCAGCTGAATATTTCAACCGCAATTTGACCGCGGTTTCGTGCGGTTTGCAGCATATTCGGAACGAAGCTCGCCGGGAATATGAAGCATTACAGAAAGCCGAAATCGAGCTTCCGTCAAAGGTTGATTTCACATATCAAATATGGATTCACCATATCCGCGTTCCACGGAATGAACCACGTTGTGGCGACGAAGAGGCATATACTTGAGAGGTAAGCAGCAGAAACGAGGGTAACTCCGAAAGTTCCATTTAATGAACGATATAAAAACCATTCATTTCCGATAATTGAAGAAGGGATTGGGGCAATAAGGTATCTAGGCCATATTTGAATAATGTTACTCAATTATCCTTCCTCAATCTCCCTAATGTCAAGAACTATCTCCCTTTATTCCTCTCTCACTTTCTAAACTGGAATCAGCTAAAATAAACTAGTCTCAGACATTGAAGAACACCCCAAAAGAAGCTCACCAGGTCTGTTTTGCAAAGCTGAAACGCCGCCAGAAAAATTGTGTATTCAAATAGTCATGAAAGTTCGGTGATTTTGTGGACAGACCTTGTATGTAACGTCCAATTGCAGCAACTTCTTGGACAATACCCTAATCAATAGTTCAGCTTGAATTGTAGGAATATAGATCTTACAAAACTGGCGAATGCACACGCGTCTACAAAAATAGCACTTTCACCATCTTTCGATGTGTACGACAGCCCATAACATAACACATCTTCTTTCAGGATCCTCTGGATCAGTATAATCACGGCATCGCTGGCATTTGGAATATCGAAAAGCTACACGATATATACGCATTATCAGAAGAGCCCAAGTGTGGTAAATGTAGAACTGAATAGCAACGATTGGTTGGCAGAATTTCCTAGTCTCACACTTTGTCAGTCTAAGTTGAACGAAGTGGCGTTAAAGAAATTATTCAAGTAATTTATTTGCCTCTTAGATAACGTTGACATGCATCTTAGATTGTAGCACCGATTACTAGTACGATACAGACGATACACCCTTGTGCATGTTTTAGACCCAGCTGGGCCATCTGTAGAAAGCGGTACTGACTTAGTCGCCATCAGGGATAATTTACTTACAACAAGCGACACTATCCAAACACGCTAGCATTTTACTCTACCTCTTTAAACTGTTATTGCCTCCAATTTCTTCAGAATTTTGGACGGGCTCTTGCCGCTCAATCAATCAACCAATCAATCAGTCAATGAATCAATGGATCAATCAATCAATGAATCAACAGATCAATGGTTAAATTAATCAATCAATTAATCAATGAATCAATAAATCAATCTATCTATCGATCGTTTAACCTATCATTCAATCAGGCTATTAGTCCCTCACTGAATCCATCAATATATAAGTCAATCAATCAATTAAGCAAACATTCATCAAGTTAATCTATCAAAGATTCAATAAATCTGTGAATCAGTCAATCAATCAATCAATGAATCAATTAATGAAACGATGAATCAATGGATCAATGCATTAGTAAATCATTCAATGAATTGAGCGATCAATGAATCAATCAATCAATCAATCAATCTATCTATCGTTCGATCGATCAATCAATTAGACTACAATAAGTCACTTACTGAATCCTTCAATTGATAAGTTAATCAATTAATTAAGCAAACAGTCACTCAATCAATCTTTCAGTGACACAATAAGTCAATGAATCATTCAATAGATCAATCAATCAGTCAATGAATCAATCAATGAATCAACCAATCAAAAAGTGAATCAATCAATCAATCTATCGACTGATCGTTTAACCTATTATTCAATTAGACTATCAGTCACTCACTGAATCCTACAATATATAAGTCAATCAATCAGTTAAGCAAACGGTAATCCAATTAATCGTTCAAAGAATAAATAAATCATCAATCAATCGATGAATGAATCAATGGATCAATGAATCAATCAATCAATCAATCTATCGGTCTATCGTTCAATCAATCAAACTGTTATACTATAATAGGTCACTTACTGAATCATTCAATTGATAAGTTAATCAGTTAATTAAGCAGACAGTCACCCAATCAATCTTTCATTGACACAATAAATCAATGATTCATTCCTTCGATCAATCAGTCAATCAATTAATCAATCAATCAGTCAATGGATCAATGGATCAATCAATCAGTGAATCAATCAATCAATCTGTCGATCGATCGCTTAACCTATCATTTCAATTAGGCTATCAGTCACTCACTGAACCCTTCAATATATAAGTCAGTCAATCATTTAAGCAAACAGTCATCCAATTAATCTTTCAAAGAATCAATAAATCAATGAATCATCAATCAATCTACTAATGAATCAATGAATGAATGAATGAATCAATGAATCAATGAATTTATCAATCATTCAATCAGTCAATCTATCGATCTATCGTTCAATCAATCAAGTAATTAGACTATAATAAGTCACTTCAATTGATAAGACAATCAATTAAATGAGCAAACAGTCACAATAAATCAATTGATCAATCAATCAAACAATCAGTCAATCAATTAATCAATGATTCCATCAATGAATAAGTGGACCAATGGATCAACGAATCAATCAATCTGTCAACCAATCAATCAATCAACGAATCAATGGCTCGATGGATCAATGAATCAGTCAATCAGTCAATCAACCGATGAACCAATCAACCAATTTATCGATCGATCGTTTATTCCATCAAAAAAAATCGACTATCAGCCACTTTCTGAATCGATAAGTCTATCAATCAATTAAGCAGACCGTCAACCAATCAATCTTTCAATGGATCAATAAATCAATGAGTTAGTCAATAAATCACTGAATCAATAAGTCAGTCATGAATCAATCAATGGGTTAATAAATGATTCAATCATTAAATCAATCAACCAATCAATCGATCAAGCAATACATAAATCAATCAATCAATTATTCAATCAATCAACCAATCGATGAATCAACCATGAGTTAATCAATCAATCAGTCAATCAATCGATCAGCCAACCATTCAATAAACGAATCAATCAATAGTATTTTGTATTGATTTTGAGAATCTGAAAATCAGCAAAGCACTTTGATCACAATTCAAAAAAATGTTGCTTTCATGATTCTTCAGTGTTATCACTCAAACGTTGTTATTTGAGCCTGTGGACATCTATCGCTTTCTTAGAAATCAATTTCACCGATGCCAAGCAAGAGTACGTACTTTGTGAAAAGATGATGAGGCTTTCCTAGAAATGTTGTTATTGGGCGGTTATAAGGGGAGCTTCGTTAGACATTTCTTTGTAAAAACTTTCAAGAATATTTTTATTGTGTTCTATATGCATACATGAGATTGGCATGTTATTTTGTGATGCACTATATATATCCCAAATAATGGATCTCTTTACAAGCTACACAAGTACAATGACTGTAAACCACATTCCAGGGAAAAAAATATAGAGTACAATGATACAACAAAGGCCTACGTAAAAGTCCTGAATCACATGCATAAGTTGAATTATGTCGAAATAGAAAAGTATCTTCTGGTAAACAGGACAGAGTTTTTGAACCCAAAGGACTATGCAGAAATTTTGTTGCTAGCTACTCATACTATCAGTCAGCAAGGTACTTTCTTCCCGCTCGATCAGAACAGGTCAATTCTGCCGATTTTCACAGAAGTTGGAATATGTTCTGTTATCAATCCGTATGTTGGGATTTATTACACACCAGAGTAAGTATGTTTGCTATAAACCAAGACAATTTAACATCTGAAAGTTATCTTGAGGTTTTCACGCTGATGAATTCCAGAAATATTCAATAGATTTGGAATCTAAAATTAAAGCTAACGTATGGGAGTTTTGAGGGAATTTTATTAAAATCTTGTTACTAATGGTTAATCATGCACCTATGATTCTTGATATCACGCAATTTCATTATTACTCTAACAGACTTCTAAGTCAGGTAGACATTTCAGGTCTAACTTCTCCTGAAAACTTTTGTCTGCAAGTTACTGGCGAAAGAAATAGACGTAGACGCAGGATATCTATATTTTACTAGATGTTACCTAAAGAATGAGCAGTCAGACGAATCAATCCACATCTTCTTTCAAACCTTCTGAGTGTGGTGTTATTAATCTGTGCAGTAACTATTTATTGTTATCTTTTTTAGATACTTTAACAATACTAAAATCGATAAACACAAGTTTGAAGCTATCCTTTACAATACGACCAAAGAAACATCTATGAGTCTGAGAGTCACTAAAAATATCGCGGGTGAATATAATGTAAGTACGATTTTGATATGCACTGCTGAAGAAATTGTAATTCTTAACAACGTTAAAGGTATAACTCTCGTTAAAAGTCGTGGAGGCATGATACTAATATTGAATCTGAGTGATCTGGAAATAAAACCCAAGACACTGTAGAATAATATAGACTTTTATTGACTACAAACTGTAAATGACATAAGAGAAATCATTTACAGACAATTTACAAAAAAAAATGTCAAAAAAGAATTTATAAATGCTCTCGCAAGAATGGAAACAACATTGTGTGTTGATATATGAACATGTCACCTGCATGACATATAAGCATCAGGAATATATTGTCAATGCCACTATCTGTACTCTGAGAAAGGCCATCGGGGTGACCGGAAAGCAAGCAAAAAGTATTCCGCTTGACAAGATCATGGACACCTTTAAATATAAACATACAACCAAAAACTTCTCTTTCAGTTATACGTACACTCTCCGAACGACGTGGTGAATTACGAAAGCAAAAACATCACTTGTTTTCACGCTAAAGCTACAACCGTGAAAGTCAACACTATCAACGTCCACACCACTAAAGCCGTAAAAGATCTGGCCATCAGTCAGCGGTACTGCAAGCTGAATTCTGAAAATGAAGGACTTAAACATAGTCCCATCTATAGCTACAGTATGTGTAGGACTGATTGCAGGATTCAGATATGTCACAGTCGGTGTGATTGTACCCCGTACTATTACAGAAGAGCCAGTAAGTTGCGCTTCAGGAGTACAATATCACTTTTTGCATTTGCTATTTTTAATCAGTGTAGTTAGTAGGAGTTTTTTAACCATAATTTCTATTGTAGAAGAGCCAATTTGCAACCTGCAAGGAATGTTATGCATTGCAAAGTTGGATGGTAAGCAAAAATTCCACTCAAAAGCTATTGGATCGGAAAAAACATTTGTAGTGGCCTTGCTTATGCAATTACTTTAATCTTGAGACAAAAGAGGAACCTGCATTTTTTAGAAAAACGATAAAGATATGCGGGGCTTTGTGATAGGGAACCGTTGTTTTGTCAGTCAGAAAGGCTCAAATCCTGGGAGTTTATTCATCAATAAAGTGGTCAATATACTCGTTATTTCTAGTAATGTTGAGAACTCTTCGAGATCCGAAAACGAACAAGACCATGTGCAGTTGTATGCAAGATTGCGACAGTAGTCTGATAATTATCGACCTTGTTCAGTCTAAAGCTTGGTTTCAAGATACGTTGCTCACTGTGCAGATAGACACCTTGACTCAACCTAGATACGTCAGGAAGCTGCTATTTTCAAAAATGGACATCCTAGGTAAAGTTTATAGATACGTTCTCAAGAACAGTTATAATACCAAATTCTTCTAATTTTTGTCCTACGGTGGGCTGTATCCTACTTTACTGCTTTAAGTTAAACCTTAAACCTTGAGGTTCAGATATAGACTGGAACACTTGACTACAGAGTATCACAGAGTCTTGACAAGAAAATTTAAATGCGGAATATGCATTCAGAGCACGCTTGACTAACAATTAAAATACAAAGGTTTACAATAACAATAAGACGTGAAATGCTTTTGGATTCTGTTCAAGGACGTTTGAAGAGTGGCGACATTAGAATTTTCGTTTTGTCATATTCATTTTTGCGGTCGAAAATGGCATACTTCGCAATTTTATAAAAGAATAATGGTTTGTTAAATGGTGAAATCCGCCCTCAAGAATTATTTATAAGAACCTTTTCATTTAAAAATCACCCAAGGAACATTTACTTGCCTAACGGGTCAGTTCATCATTTTTAAATTACTTTGCTGCCAAAGGAAATGATCTGCACTAATGATGATGTATTAGTTTTTTTAAGCTTTAAATCAATAAATCTTCAAAACTACTGAACTGAAGTACATTAATTTTATATCATTATAAAGGGAATTTAAGATTTTGGCGGTGGTGTCACCCCCGCTTAGAGGGCTGCACGTGCCAACGTGATTTTTACCAAAATTGTGTCCCCTCGAAAACAAAATCGACGGGTCTGAGCGTTTTTCCAAAAAAAAACTGAATTGCTAGTAAATGCGCCTGTTTCGTTTTCGATGCGCCACCCTGTATACTCGATGACATTAGAAGTGTTACACCCAGAAAAAAATAGATATAGAATGCTAGCGTTTACTGCGTTGGTACTTAGGGTTAAAAAAAGACACCACCAATTCAAAGAATGAAATCAAGTAGACGTTGTAAAAGCTCTAATATATTTCACAACGGGCCATTAGAGGTCTCGCTTATCTGGTAATTCCGAGGCAAAGACATTCGATAATTCTTTACTGCGAAACGCGGATTACTTCGTAGGAGGGCCATTTGTCTAGCCAAGCCACTTTCCAGGCTAATAACGAGTTTGGTTGCCAATTAGAAATGGCTTTATCTCAAGATTCGGATACTTGGACGCAGCTAATAGCTAATGGCTTGAAGTTTTGATGGATGTGGATTGTAGAGTATAGCTATTAAGAATAAAGAACTACGCAATTTCTTTAAGGAAATTGAATATCTGATCTATCGCATATCTCACCGTCCTGAACAAATGTCTCCTGAACCCTAAGGGTTGTGAGATAAGCATGGTTGAAGATGAATTCTCTTTTTGGTATGTACTTCGTAGCGCTGGTGGCACATTTTTGTTTTGCTACGTATTTGAAAGATGAACAAATATTTTTTTGTGATTTTGATTACATCGTTAAGAGGTCGTGAGCAGCCATGACCATTCAAGTGCTTGTAAAAACCCATACACGAGGCTTATCCAATCTATCAACGTGTTACCAGATGTCAGGGACAATCTTTCCAACAAAAAATAACGTTTTCTTTTTGTGTACAAGGCCATTTTTTGTTTCCGATATTTCGTATCAAGTTCCCATACAGATGAAAAAAAAGGTTATTACGTAAACTGGAGCTTTATTAACGAAGAAATCAATTTCCAATACGAAAGCAGCACACATCGTACGTGAGGAGTATATTTTTGTACGAAATACTATATTTCTCTTAATTCGAACGTCTATGGCACAAAACGTGTCAGTCGTGCTTTGTCCTTCGATTCGGTGTGGCGCGTTTTCCCCATTTCGTTCGCCCACCAACCGAAATAACGATTGCTTGAGAAACTAATAGAGTATAATACAGAGTGTGCAATACTTCACAGCAAGGCATCTTTCTCTCAGCGATTCTGTCTTAATATGCTGAGAATTCAAAACTGCATGGACGACTACACGGTGCAAATTTTAAAAAAATTTCAAAATTTTGAAATTTTTCAAAATTTTCGAAAATATAAAAATTTTCGTATTTTTAAAATTTTTCATATTTTTAGAATTTTTAAAATTTTTAAAATTCTCAAAATTTTTCAAAATCTTCAAAATCTTCAAAAATTTCAAAATTTTCAGTTTTCAAAATTTTCCAGATTTTCAAAATTTTCACGTGCTATCAAAAAATCAACATGGGTGAGGATATCCATTATTTGTATACAACCACAAAGGCCAACCTTGTTACAATATATTTTTTAAAAACTTTCAAAATCTTCAAAATTTTTAAAATTTTCAAAATTTTCAATTTTCAAAACTAAAAATTTTCAAAATTTTAAAAATTTTCTAAATTTTCAAAATTTTCAAAATTTTCAAAATTTTCAAAATTTTCAAAATTTTCAAAATTTTCAAAATTTTCAAAATTTTCAAAATTTTCAAAATTTTCAAAATTTTCAAAATTTTCAAAATTTTCAAAATTTTCAAAATTTTCAAAATTTTCAAAATTTTCAAAATTTTCAAAATTTTCAAAATTTTCAAAATTTTCAAAATTTTCGAAATTTTCAAAATTTTCGAAATTTTCGAAATTTTCGAAATTTTCAAAATTATCAAAATCTTCATAATTTTCAAAACTATCAAAATTTTCAAAATTTTCAAAATTTTCAAAATTTTCGAAATTTTCGAAATTTTCAAAATTATCAAAATTTTCATAATTTTCAAAACTATCAAAATTTTCAAAATTTTGTATTTTGCAATTCTTGACAGATAATATTATGTATATAGAAAATCATTACCTATAACTTACGTCTTGTTTTTTCATCTCCATAGCAAAATTTAGATGCATTATTTTAATTGTTCGTACTACGAGTCTGGTATAATGAACCCAAAGGCGGACGAAAACCAAATAAAATCAAGCAGTAAAAATTCAATTACTATAAAATGAGTTATTACTCATAAAAGCTATAAAATTCGAATTTCAAATCCGTCGACCTTCAGACTAATCTCATTTCATTCCAGTTCAACAAGGCGGGATATTCGGACTCTGTTTGGGATGCAGTATTTTGAGCATAATTGAAATCGTTTACTTTACGACTCTACGATTTTTCTGGGGCGCAATTAAGAAAATGTCCATTAAAACTTCTTTGTGAGTCTCCATCGCTTCCCTTTCCGACCAAGAAGAAGCTTTTCCATTTGTCTATTTTCTTGCCGAGCTCCACCATCTATCAAAATAAGTGAGTACTTACTTTAATTAGCGGTTTGTGATATATTTGAATTTGAAAATAAATGTGCAACGTATGCTTTGTAGTTTTTATTATCTGTTCAAACGTTCAAGAGCTACATGAGTATGTTGGCCTCAAATCAAGCTCATGTTGCATTTTCTGTCATTTAATATAAAAATAATACTAGACTACAAACAACATAAGTAGATGACCTTGACTCCTTCCGACTTCGGCTCCAAATCAAGGTCAAGTGTATGGGCAGAGACTCAAACGTAGCATTTTCTATTCAAAATGATAATGCATCAATTTTCTTGCACATTTTTTCTAGGAAATGATATTTTGCAGAAGTGTGAGTGGAATATAAAAGGTCGGTAGACACTGCAATCGAAAATTGTGTTTTCATTTAAAATTCGCCCTATACGTGCAGAAATAATTAAAAACGCTGTGTTTCATATGTAGGACCGGAGAAAAATCCACAAAAATGAAAAATTTAAAACAGTGCAATTTCCAAACCATGAAATATTCGCGTCCAGTTCGGAACCAGCGTCAATCAAAATAGCTTTGAATTATTTATGAACATATTCATAGTGCAGCACTACCTATATTTGGATTTGTTTATTGTTTGTCGGTTAATTGACGAATGCAGTGATGAACAGCTGCATATCGTGTTACTATGCGAAAAAATTTATAGTCACATTAAAAATATGGACAGGTCTTTTTAACCCTGAAACCTACATAACTTGATTTCTTTTGAAATTTCAATGGAGTTCACGTTATAGCTTTGAGTGATGTCTCTAAACTTTAGGTGGGTAAGTACTCGTATTGGACTTTTTAATACTATTTGCGATAGTAGACTGAGTTTTGATCATTACATAGATTTCTAATGCAAGCTGGACTGTTGGTTTTATAGTTAGAAATTGTGAACTGATGTCTTGAAAACCTCATAAATTGTCTTGGAGTCCTTACTATCAATGCTACACAAACAGGATTCATTATATCCAGAAAAAATCTTTAAAGTACTTAGTCTTTAAAGCTGATGGAATTTATGAAGTAATAATAATAATAATAAGAGAAAAACGATAAGCGTTTTCAAAATTTTCAGAATTTTCAAAATCTTCAAAATTTGCAAACCTTTAAAAATTCCCATTTTTCAAAATTGCTTAAAATCTCCGTAATTTTCAAACTTCTTGACAATTTTACAAATCTTTAAGATTTTTGAAAATAATTAGAACTTTCAATTTTCAAAATTTTCAAGAATTCCAGAATTTTCAAAATTTTCATAATTTTCATAATTCTGAATTTCCAATATTCAAGATTTTCAAAATTTTTGAAATGCTAAAAATTTTTAGTTTCCAACATTTTCAAAATTGTCACAATTTTCAAAATTTTTAAAACTCAAAATTTTCAAAATTTAAAAATTTTTCATAATCTTCAAAATTTTCAAAATTGTCAAAATTTTCAAAATTTCCAGAATTTTAAAAATTCTCAATGTTTAAAATTTCTTAAAATCTTCGAAATTTTCAAACTTCTTGACAATTTTACAAATCTTCAAGATTTTTGAAAACAATTAGAACTTTCAATTTTCAAAATTTTCAAGAATTCCAGAATTTTAAAAATTTTCATTATTTTCTTAATTTTGAATTTCCAATATTCAAGATTTTCAAAATCTTTGAAATGCAAAAAATTTTCAGTTTCCAACATTTTCAAAATAATCAAAATTTTCAAAATTTTTAAAACTCAAAATTTTCAAAATTTGAAAAATATTCAAAATTTTTAGAATTATCAAAATCTTCAAAATTTGCAAACTTTTAAAAATTCTCAATGTTCAAAATTTCTTAAAATCCTCGAAAGTTTCAAACTTCGTGAAAATTTTACAAATCTTCAGGATTTTTGAAAACAATTAGAACTTTCAATTTTCAAAATTTTCAAGTATTCCAGAATTTTCAAAATTTTCATAATTTTCATAGTTCTGAATTTCCAATATTCAAGATTTTCAAAATCTTTGAAATGCTGAAAATTGTCAAAATTTTCATAATTTTCAAAATTTTCAATATTTTCAAAATTTTCAAAATTTCCAAAATTTCCAAAATTTTCAAAATTTGCAATTTTTTCAAAATCTTCAAAATTTTCATAATTTTCAAAATTTTCTAAATTTGCTAGATTTTCAAAATTTTCAGAATATCTAAAATTTTCAAATTGTTCAACGTGTTCATGATTTTTAAAAATTTTGAGAACCGTGCCGGTGTCTGTGAGGTTACGTTTTTTTGAATTGTAGGAAATTTCAGGTTGATTATAACATGATATAAATCAAAAGCATGTACAATTTAATGCGAATAGATATTTGTAACATAACCTCACATGAAACAGAAAACTATGAAAATCAAGGAGGCCATAAGGGCGTCCTACAATTGTATGAACGACTGTACGGCTCTTAGTTCTGTACAGGATCGCTATCCTTTTGATGCGTGCAAATACGTACTTCAATTAAACTGGTAACTTGTTTGATATATTTAATTGGTCTTTTTAAAAGCATCCTTAGTGAGATATATCATTAGTCAATCTTGAATAGTTATATTCCATTGTTAATGAATCGTTTCTGTTAGGTAGTAAATACTATTATTTTATCTCGTTAGCTCATTTAACATCAGTAATATGTTTCTGCCGCATATCTACCAATTCTACGGTCGCCAAAGAGCAAGATTTAAGCGCTCAGAAATGGAAGGATGAGCATCTGCTACAAATGCTCAATAAGGAAACATCTGGAGATACCGCCTGCCAAACTTAATCAATTTTCCTTCAGGTTTAATTAGAAAAAAGGAAAGTTTAAATCGGGATATAACTGATCTTGCCCGTTGTGCCTTAACGTTCCGCAGTTCAACTTGAAAAGCGATTTAAACGCTCCGAGCTTGATGATTTCTTTATAATAAGGCTTTTAATAGTTTCTTTCATAAACGTTGTATGGATATCGAGATGTGAAAGACTCGGTGGATCGAAAAGAAGTACAAGAACTTAAACATATTTCAACAAGTTGGCCTTTGTGGTTGTATACAAATAATGAGAGGTGTAGCAGCAATCTATAAAGCAGTCGTACATCATATTCTGTACCTCAGAGTCAGACTAGGTAAGTCCATTTTTGTCATAAATGAGATTAATATGCTATGCTTATGATAATATTGCGAATTTTCATTTGCTGCATGCAGCTTCCATCTATCTGTAGTAATAAGATTCATGTCAAATCGCATACAATGCCAGAAAAGTATTTCAAATACTTCGTCTTAAAACTACTCATTTGGACTTAACCTAGTCTGACTCTGAGGTACAGTGTTGTATACTAAGTGACATATAAATCCGAACACCCAGTTTAAATGCTTTTATTTAAAAAAAATTTGTATAAGTACTTAATGAAGCATAATAAGTAAATGATAAAAATTTCAAAATGATTGTACTGCTTTAAAGCCCTTTGACCTTTAATAATGTGTGGATGCACCCTGATGTGCTACGCATTCTCCAACGCGCCTAGGCATGCTTTTGATCAGGTGGTCAATGTCCTCCTGTGGTATCTCATTCCAGGCAACCACCAACTCGTCTCGAAGTGCTTCTAGAGTCTGAGGAGGACATTGCAAATTGACCAGTCTCCTACCCATCATATCCCACACGTGCTCAGTAGGGGATAAGTTGGGAGATCTTGGTGGCCATGGTAACAATGTGACATCATTATGTTCAAAGAAGTCTATTGTGACTCTTGCAACATGTGGTCGGATATTATCTTGTTGGAAAGTTGGATCTGCCAGGGTGTCAAGATAGGGTAAAAGATGGGGTTCTAGAGCTTCGTGGATATAACGCTGCGCGTTCATGTTACCTCTGATGAAGATTAAAGGTGACCTGGAACCATAAGCTATAGCACCCCAAACCGTAACTCCAATAGTGTGATGAACATGTCTTTCAACAAAAAACTGTGGATTCCTCCTTTCACCACGTCGCCTTCTAACCCTGGCACGACCATCGTGTATGCCTAAACAAAATCGAGACTCGTCACTAAAGACAATACTGTTCCATTCCTGATCCCAGAGTGACCGTTGTCTGCACCACTCAAGGCGATTACGTCGGTGTAAGGGTTAGAAGGCGACGTGGTGAAAGGAGGAATCCACAGTTTTTTGTTGAAAGACATGTTCATCACACTGTTGGAGTTATGGTTTGGGGTGCTTTAGTTTATGGTTCCAGGTCACCTTTAATATTCATCAGAGGTAACATGAACGCGCAGCGTTATATCCACGAAGTTCTAGAACCCCATCTTTTACCCTATCTTGACACCCTGGCAGTTCCAACTGTCCAACAAGATAATGCCCGACCACATGTTGCAAGAGTCACAATAGACTTCTTTCAACATAATGATGTCACATTGTTACCATGGCCACCAAGATCTCCCGACTTATCCCCAATTGAGCACGTGTGGGATATGATGGGTAGGAGATTGCTCAATTTGCAACGGCCTCCTCAGACTCTAGAAGCACTTCGAGAGGAGTTGGTGGTTGCCTGGAATGAGATACCACAGGAGGACATTGACCACCTGATCAGAAGCATGCCTAGGAGCGTTGGAGAATGCGTAGCACATCAGGGTGCATCCACACATTATTAAAGGTCAAAGGGCTTTAAAGCAGTGCAATCATTTTGAAATTTTTATCATTTACTTATTATGCTTCATTAAGTACTTATACAAAATTTTATTAAAATAAAACCATTTAAACTGGGTGTTCGGATTTATATGTCACTTAGCATAGTTTGAATTGTTGCTGTTATTTATCTGACATGTATCGATGAGTGACGATTGCACCGTAAGAATCGTTTTCATTTTGTTTGTTATTATATACATACATATACTGTATAGAGGTTTATACCTAGCCACCGAGGACTGTGGGACTCCTAGTGATAGGTTTCTGCTGGCAGAAACGAATATTTTTTATCTATGCGAACGACCAGCTGCATAACATCATTCAGCTTCAAATTGAGCCGGGGGTAAAAGTAATGCTCTAAATGTCGATACAATTGACTGACTAATTTCAAAATGCACGACAGTTCCTGTAGCCGCGTCTGTGACTTCATTGCTACCAAACACGCGATTTGATAATCATAGACTCCGACACAAGTGACGGTTGAAACCTAGAATTCATCACCTATTTCGCCATTAACGTTTGTAGTGTGGATATCAAGAGGTGTTGACATTCTACGGTACGTGACTTGACTTTTTCATATACACCATCTCCACATTTGCAAATAGTTTTTGACGTCGCATTTTTAGCGTGATAAGGCACCTCTTGAATTTTGCCATGAAGAAGCAGTGTACACGAAAAGCTTTAAGTTTGACAGTCTTTCACGGTAAAGTTATGATGAGCAAAGTTCTGTTGCCAAATACAATTTGTAATTTGAGGTAATAGCTTTTTCTTTAGCTTTTGTCAGGTTTTCGAGCGCGCGTTTGTATAACATCGAACCGTTTTGTGATTTTGGGGGAAGATTGAACGAAAAACACCACATGAACAGTTTTATAAGAACTATTATATTATCTTAAAGTACAGTATTTACAATAGTAATTACAGGTGTGTGATGTATCATAAGATTACGAAAAAAATGGCACAAAGTTCGCGAATAAATTTTTGCTGAGAAATAGTCATAAATCGAATGAAAAACGTAAATATTGTTCATATGCACATGTATAATTTCATGCCATAACATGACTTCCTTGAATTCTTTTTACCTATCCGAGAACTTCATCCATAGAGCAACCAAATTTCGTGATAGAGGGTTTATTCTTGTCAATCACTCAACATAAAATAGGACCGCCATAATATGAAACGCAAAATAAAAGAATGCAAAAGAAGAGAGCGTCCAAAATATTGTTATACAATGATTTTTCACCACAGTTTATGATATTTTGATTAGCATACACCTACATATAATCAACATGTAATAATAGTCTTAGATCTGTTCTATAAACTCTCTAGTGTGCTTTCTATAAATATAAAACAAATATCTATGTACATGTTTTCATTGTCATTTCAAAACGGTTTCACACTCACATTTACGTTTAGTATCTCACAAAGAAGTTTCCTTTATAGGTCAATTGTTTTGAATATCTTCATAGAATATCCAAAATAGATCGCTATCAATAAAAAAAAGGTGGAGCATTGTGATAGCGTATTGTCAAAAACGTTAAAAATGTTTTAAATGAACGTCATTTTACAATCATCATTAGTACGAAAGTTATTTACTGATATAATAATTTAGAAAAATATATAACGAATTAGAGGCTGTAACGCTGCTTAGATAGTGTGATCGTATTTGGTTTCACCAAGCTCCATGACTGTCACTAAGAAATAGTAAGATGGCACACTTATAAACATACCTCCACCTTTTTCTATCACATCCCAGGTACAAAAATCAAAAGCAGGTTGCATTTTATATACCGCCGAGTCTTCCATAGTTGCTGAAAGAAGACTCTGGTGGTACAATTTCGAATCCTTTCCAGAAAGAACACGTCTTTGCTTCAGAAGTTCCCACACGTACAAGCCTCAAAGCAAGATCATCACCTTCTTGAAAGTTCTCAACCTTAACATCTCGAAACGTCAGAAGTACAGTCCTTCCAGGATCAAGATAGTCCAGTCGCCATTGATTTTTTTGACGTACAAGCCAAATATATGCTGAAATATTTATTTCCATTGGATCTCCCCTCATTTCTATAACACCTATTAATTCTTTCTTGATTCTTTCCAACTTGATTACCACTGGGAAACTGGACTAATGTTATGTCAATCAGATTCATCTCGCAATATTTTAATATTACGTATGATCTTCAGAATAGCACCAAAACAATATAGAACGTAATTTTATGATAAAGTGCTCTTAGAGCTACAGTCTGCACTCAGAGAATTTGGTATTTCGGAACTGATACATCATATTATGATGACTGAATTAGCAAATGTGAGAAATATAGTGCATTCTTCTGTGAGAACATATTTTGATTTGTTTTTTAATGTACGTGTACGCCTGTTTCTGTTTTCTGGCCAAATGAGATCACATATTTATGACCTACGAGTAGTCTTTACTGATGTTTTCTGTCTTTTCTCAAAGTGGTAATGACAATATATTGTAACCCCCTCGTATGATTACCAGTGAGACACCGTCGTGCATCGAGGTTTAGGCAACCAGAATTACGCGACCGCGTATCTAGAGTATTCGCCACGCATCGACAAATACCGACCACCGTCTACCAGCTTCGATGAATACTCGAACTGTGTCTGGAAAACGCGGGAACGTTTCTGGATTCGCCGATTCAAAAATAAATACACACTCACAGAGGGCATAGTGAGGCAGAATCAACCGAGAGTGGATGATGAGTCAACCGCGCGGAACACCATAGTCCAGTCGATATAGTCAAATATTTGTTGTAATCAATTAGTGTTAGAATAATAAATTCGACTTTAAATGGTATGTGTCTTCTAGGTAACAGTTTATCCGTTTTTATTTTCTAAAATATGTTTTCATTGTCACTGTGCTTTGAAAAAGGCCAGTTAACAGTAATTTATACATATATTGTTTCTTTTGGTCGGAAAATCATGAAGTTGTATGATAAGATGATCTAGGTATTTTCTGGAAGAAATTTACGAAAAATGGAGAATTCTTTTCCATTTTAATTGTTCAACACAAGGAAGTATTGGATTGAAAAAGCCTTATTTGACGTCTGACAACGCTCTTGTCACTCTAAGCTAATAAGGAAAATGTATCCTTGCCAGAAGGAGACCTTGAAGGTACAGTTATGCATTCGACATTTAACTGTACATGATATTTAAGGATTGCACTTTCGAGATCACTTTTTGATTCATTTTGGAACGACAAGGCATTATCATTCTTAAAATAATCTCATCATATTTATATCAGTTCCGAAAACAGACTTCAAGTCCACGAATCATGATTTCTCAGTCCTCATCGTCAATATGTACAAAATACAAATTCCACTAAACTTGGTGAGCACTGAACTTTCGTATGCTTAGAGGTACACGAATCATCTGCTGTGCAAGGCAGCCAATAGGGTGAGAAGGAGTGACAGCGCCATCTGTCGGTGACTCGTTGAAGCTAGGCTGGTTTGCATGGCCGCGGGGTGTTCACCTGCAACAAAAAAATACGATTAAGCCGGGGAACATGCGACGTTTCTATTTGGCTTTCGTACGTATGAACACAGCCCAACAAGATGAAAAAAACTGTGCCGAAGAAATAGTAGTAACTGACTTTAACTATTCGTAATGCGTTGAATTTACGATATGTGCGATTTAAGTGCAAGATATGCCATTTCCGCACCCCGAAAAGCAATATGAAAAAACGAAAATTTAGGGTTTTCAAAGTTTCTAAATGTTGCTCAAATATGCAATAAAATATCGAGGAATTGCAGGAATATTGTTATCTCGAACCTTTGGTTTTTGATTATTATTTGTAGCTGACTTATCATGTCAGACCCGCCTGACCTTGACCTCCAATCTTAACTGTTTCGAACTTCGGACATCCAAAACTGGCCTATACGACCGCTGCTTCCTGAGGTATCTAGATTATGAAACAATCTACATTGGGATGATTTACCCAGTTCTAGTAACCTTAGGCAGTTCAAAAATCCGATAAAGTTTATTTAAGATCCTCATAGTAGCTAAAGTGCTCTGGTGTCTAGGATTTGCCTGCGCAAAAATTGAATCGCAAATCATCCGAAAACGACTAATTTTATCAGTTACATAGGACCTTTTCATTTAAAATCATGAAAATTTAGCAAATTTTGGAAATTGTGACAATTTTGAAGTTTGAAAATTTCAAAAATTTTGATTATTTGTAAAATTTTGTAAATCTTGAAGATCGAGATATTTGAAAATTTCAAAACTTTTGAAAATTTTCAAAAACTGTGAATTTTGAAAATTTTCAAAACTTGGGAAATTTTGAAAGCTTTGAAAATCTTGAAAATTTTGAAAATGTAAATTTTGGAAACTGAAAATTTTGAAAATTTTGAAAATAGGGTTAGTTCTGTACTAAAGCAGATACTGTTTGAACGCATGGATGTTTTCTATATATGGTGAAAGTGCTACATACTTAGCAGTGTAGTAAGAACACTGCACACGCACCATTTTTAAAAAAGTCGGTTCCAAGTGTTCCTTTTAAGAGCTTATTATTTCAAAAAATGCCATCTCGAGACTTTCTCCACGTCAGTGACAAGCAAGGAGATTTCAGAAAATGTACCTGGGGTACGTCTGTATTTTAAGCAAAGAGCAGCTTATTGTAAACACACCGCACATCCATCCACATTTTATATTTCTATTCAAAACTTATTATTTCAGAAAATGCCCCCTCGAGACTTTCTCCATGTCAGTCACGTGCGCTACGTCACGTCGACTCCAGATTTAAATAGAGCAAATAGTTCCTCGGATTCCGAACGGATAAACGTTTGTTGCCAAACTTCGGGAGAAATAGCCGAACACTCTGGCATTTCTCCGCAGTTTCGATATCCGCCGTATTTACTTTAAGACTTAAGCTGTTATTCATATGCGGCAGATCCCCCGATCAAAACGCACTTAAACTTCAATAAGAGTTGGAAACTTTTTACCAGTAGAAACTTGCGAATGTGGACGGGCTTTCGAAAAAGATCGACTTCTGAGCAATGCGATATAAGATTGCGGTATTGATTTAGAAAGTTTTTTGTTATGCGGAAAGCGTTTTGTTGTTCCGGATGATATATAGTATGGTACAGGGTGACACCTATACAAGGTGTTCGATAAGTACCGCGTATGACCTTGAAAACCATGGATCTACGAGGTCTGTATTCAAATATAATTACAATTTTATATTTTGCCTTTTAAAATAACTTTCTTCTGAAGCCACACAGCGCTGGAGATGGTTTTTCCACTTCTCATACCAGTGCTGGATCTCTGATATTTGAATATCCCTCAGCTGGTCGGTTCTAGCCATTTGAATGTATTAGACTGTCCCAAAATGAGTTTCATGAGGTGATTTTTCGACTTCGTGAAGACAGAAAAGTCACAAGGACTCGAATCAGGCGAACAAGGAGCCTGCAGGGCCACAGGAATTTTTTCACGGGCGGAAGACTTGTTTATTGACATGACGTGATAAGAAGCACCGTTTTTTACACCTACAACATTTCCTCCCTGAAATAATCACTAAAACCTCAAAAGAATATGTTTTAGCGATTTTTTATTTCGCGTGTTTTGCTCATAGCTCTATTACCACTGGACCGATATTCAAAACTTACAAGGCTTTTTGTACTTGTGTGAAAATTTCATCCAAATCCAAGCAGTACTTTTCAAGTTATAGACAGACTGCCAGACTGCGGAGACGGGTGAGATGTTTTTTCCTGATGCACATGTCACATTCAAAAACCATATTATCTCATTTTCGGAATCCTCGCAGGTAAAAATGCAATGGCCGAGCTTGGAGAACGTGAACATTCCAGGCGTACAGGACCACAGCATAATCACAAGCTTATTTAACAACTCAATCCTCAAATATTCCTACCTGTACAACAGACAAAGCCCCGCTGCATGCATGTATGTATGCGTCGGAGTGAGATGATCTACAGAGAAGGCTCGCCTCCTGCATAACAAGCGACCAAGTTGTTCTGAAGCCCATTGTGCAGCTTGTGTTGTGCACTTGTGCTGGTTGAAATGCCGGTATTGTTGGCGAGGATCGGAGGCCTCGTTTGGATATAACGAATTATTAATCTGAATTATATGTGCTGGGATGCTGTGTATTGCTCCAAGAATACGAGAATACGTGATTTGGGGTCAGGATAGAAACACCCTGCAGAGAGGCTGTGGCGAAGCTATGTGTAGGCTGTCGAGCAATATTCACATGACAGAATCATTCACTTTTCATGGTTTCACAAGGTCAGTTGAATTATTGGTATGTATTTCTGCAGACGATTGACGCTTTCCTTTTTTTTCTGGCCTTTGAAGTGTACACACTACTTTGCGGTATTTAAAATACATAGTCCATTCACCATAATTACAAGGGGAGACAATTACTTACAAATATGGTGAATGTGCAACAATTTTTCACCATATATTAAAAAAATGCAGCAGACTAGTCTGGAAAATGCTGAATGCTCTGCGCTCTAAGAGCAAGAAGAGAGTGTCGTTGTCTTGTACCGATAGGTTTAAGGATCCTTCTGTATTTTTGATTTATGGGCTATGGAGGACTACTTGTCAGAGGAGGCAGCTTGTTTTTTACTTTTCATGGCTTCATTTCACAGGACCAGCTGGATTCTTAGTTGTTTTTCCAGACGACTAATGCCCTTCTCTGGCATCTGAAGTGTACAGTTTTTAAAAAGCGGTTTATAAAATACATGGTCCATTCATCATAATTACAATGTGAAACTGTTAGTTTCAAAAATGTGCAACATCTTTTTACGGTTATTAGGTATGATATTCGCCATATATTGAAAAATGTAGCGATCGAGTCTTTAAAATGATGAATGCAATGCACTTTTTCTGAGCTCTAAGACCAGAGCGAATATCTTTCAGTCTTGTGCTAGTAAGTGTAGGGATCCTTCTGTATTTTTAACGTATAAGCTTTGGCGAACTACTTGTCAGAGTCGGTAGTCATCTCCCCATGCTGAGATTTTCAGTAGACCATAGCAGCTTGTTTTCTGGTTTTCATGGCTCTACTTCATAAGACAAGTTAGATTTTCAGTTGTTTTTCCAGATGAATGATGCCCTTTCTTTCGCTGGTATCTGAAGTGTACACTGTTCTTTAAAAGCGGTATACAAAATACATAGTCCATTCACCATAATTACAAAGTGAAACAATCAGTTGCAAATATGGTGGACGTGCAACAATTTTCCATGGATGTTAGGTTGCACATTCAGCATATATTGAAAAACGTAGCGGTCGAGTCTTTAAAATGATGAATGCTATGTACTTTTTCTGAGTTCTAAGACCAGAGCGAATATCTTTCAGTCTTGTGCTAGTAAGTGCAGGGATCCTTCTGTATTTTTAACGTATAAGCTTTGGCGAACTACTTGTCAGAGTCGGTAGTCATCTCCCCATGCTGAGATTTTCAGTAGGCCATAGCAGGTTGTTTTCTGGTTTTCATGGCTCTACTTCATAAGACGAGTTAGATTTTCAGTTGTGTTTTTTCAGATGAATGATGCCCTTTCTTTCGCTGGCATCTGAAGTGTAACACTGTTCTTTAAATGCGGTATACAAAATATATAGTCCATTCACCATAATTACAAAGTGAAACAGTTGCAAATATGGTGAACGCGCAACAATTTTCTAAGGATGTCAGGTGGCACATTCACCATATATTGAAAAATGTAGCGGTCGAGTAGAAATGATGAATGCAATGTACTTTTTCTGAGCTCTAAGACCAGAGCGAGTGTCTTTCCGTCTTGTGCTAGTAAGTGTAGGGATCCTTCTGTATTTTTAACGTATAAGCTTTGGCGAACTACTTGTTAGAGTCGGTAGTCATCTCTCCCCATGCTGAGATTTTCAGTAGGCCATAGCAGCTTGTTTTTTACTTTTCGTGGCTCTACTTCAAAAGACCAGTTAGACTTTTAGTTGTTTTTTCAGATGAATGATGCTCTTTCTTTGGCTTGCATCTGAAGTGTACACTGTTCTTTAAAGGCGGTATACAAAATACATAGTCCATTCACCATAATTACAAAGTGAAACTGCTGCAAATATGTTGCATGTGCAACAATTTTTCTATAGATGTTAGGTGACACATTCACCATATTTTTAAAAATGTAGCGGTCTAGTCGAAATGATGAATGCAATGTACTTTTTCTGAGCTGTAAGATCAGAACGAGTGTATCTCAGTCTTGTGCTAGTAGATCATTAGCATTCCACGTGTATGAGCTTTGGCGACCTAGTTGTTAGAGTTGGTAGTGTTATAGCCGGTTGTTTGCTTTATGTCGTATGGCCGATTGCAAGCAAGCATGAAACACCGTTGTATCCGGTTGGTCATTATCTTGACCAGTAGCTTATTACAACCCTTCAATGTGTATCATGAGCGCCATTATTGAGCAACGTTGACTGGTGACGTGAAACTCCACTGGTCAGTGGTCACACGTATTTATATTTCTCCCAGTAATTCCAACCTCTTGAAGGTTGTTTCATCCTCACTCTTTGCCAAAGTTCCAAGAGCTTCTTTACAATTCCACACCGGCAAGGTGGGCAAGTACTTGACTACTTGACTTGACTATGTACCGAAAAACAATTCTAGATAACGAACGAATTACTATTTCGTGGACAAATTAATAAAATTACCTAATAATCAACACGATAACAAGTACTGTGCTACTCAACCAGAGAACAGATTGTGTACGTAAGACCTCGGCTCTACCAGAACCATATTTAAGTTCATCACTCGACGAAAAGTTTTTCATTTTATATAATAAGGGCGACTCCGTCTGGTACACAATAAAGTTAGAAGATTCTGAAGCGAACAAAAGTTTATGTACTTTACATTAGGAAGATATTAAACTGAAAGTTTTCACTGCTTAATAAGACCTGCCGGAAGTTTGTTTGAATTTGGAGATTGTTGAACATATCTCGTTCATCAGGGAAATTTGAGTGGACCTAAAAACATGTATTTGAGAAAGAATTGACAAGGTCATAAAAATGAAATTGCATCGGAATAAGGCAGCGTCAAGCGCCATCTACCTCTGGGATAGACCACTGCGAACAGTGAATCGCAGCCTACCGTTTAGAACAAAAGCATGGCAACTATTCACTACCAAGAGTGTGAGATAGAAGTCCCCTGGAAACTGTCTTATGCATCGGATGGAATCCCTCTATTTGTTTTGAAAAAGTATGTTTTCACTCTTGCAAGGCCACTCTTATCTACCTTCAACTTATCCGTAGATTTCGGTGTCTTTCCCGACTAAAATTTTTTTTTAACACGAATTCACAAGTCTGGTCGCGAAAACGATGTGCAAAGCTATCGGGCAGTATGTCTCCGATCCCAAATTCTAAAGCTTTATGATTTCCTGCTATCAAACATCCGATATAAGTGATGATTCAACACCGGAAGATCAACTGCTACAAACATAACCACTGCTTTTGGAAACAAGCTTCAAGTAGACTCTATTTACAAGGTTTATACGAAAGCCTTCGTCAGAATGAATAGGATCTAATTTTGACTAAATTCGAAAATTTTTGTCACAGTCTGCCAGATACGGTGGATCATTATCTAATCCCATCAACGTCTTTTCAGGCATACCCCAAGGCATTGGTTCAGTTTTATTTAATATATATTATCTTCGTTGCGAATTCGATATCAAATATCAATTATTTAATTTCTGAAGATGATCTTGACCTGCCTACAACAGTGAGACATATCCAGGATGACGAAATTTCTGGTGCAAGCTTTCTGTTTAAATATATAACTAAATAATACTTAATGGTCAATTCTCTGGTTTGGAAAACATAACTTGTTACGCTCCTGACTTCTCGTATTTAAAACAGAACGCGCCCCGGCCTTCCTAGCTCCGTAACTTGATCAACTGTGTCTTTTAACAATTTCCTCAGAAGGCAGTTGCATTTCAATTGATTTTTATTGAAGGTAATATCCCCCGTTGATTCTTTGAGCTGACTTCGTTATGGCGCGTCTCCTTCTTTCTGAGATCACTTCTCAGTATAAATTCCTGCTTCGTTGCAAGTTCATATTGGAAAAGCCTAACGGAAACGACGTTATCTTCGCTGGATACGGGGGTCGCTGACATGCCGATTGATATTCGATGCTGGCAATAAACATAACATTTGGATAGGATTACTGGAATGGAAATAAACAAACAGCTTTCCGAGGGTAGAGAACCCAATTATTTACAATCATTCGCTCAGATCACCAATGCTAATCTCTCTCATAATCAGCTGATCTCAATCACGACAGGCTCAAGGTTATTTTAAGGTCACATTGAGAAAAAAGCCTAAAGAATTTCGAAAAAATTTGTATTTTGGGTCATTTAGAAAAGAATAATGAAAACAGACCCTTGCAGAACACTCTCATTGACCTATCATTGTGTAACGTGTCCGATCGTTAACACAAGGAAGTTGCATTACATGACAACTTAAACAAGATGCAAGTGTAGAAACCCTTGTCGGATACTAAGATATAGTGAACCAGGCTCTAAAACCGATCCTTGTGGAGTACCTTCACTGACTTACCGCTGAACAGATGCATAATCATACTAGTATTTGACGATAAACTAAATGAGTGGTTTATATAGGACATTAAATAAATATGTAGTTAATACCACCATAAAATAGACCCTTGCGGGATACTCGCACTGGCTTATCACCAAGCAGATACACAGTGGTGGTAACAGAATTGGTATTCAGTGGTATAGAGTTGGTATTGATAACGAACCATACATGTGATGAAATAAATAATAGAGTTTGTACTGGCCCCACAACTGGGCCTTGAGGGATACCCTCACCGACTTACCATTGAGCACGTGCACAATCGTGGACGCAGGGCTGGCATTGGACGGCATGCAGGTGTAGTTCCCCGAATCGGAGAGCAGCGCTTTGGTCACCAGCAATCTGCTGGTGGTACCAGCCTCCGTTTTCTCCGTTTCCAGGCTGATTCCGCCTCGCGGCGAGTCGAAATCGACGACGGCGCTGCCGTGGTACCACAGCACCGAGGAGGGGGGTTGAGAGTGAACGTTGACGGTGCACGTGAGGGAAATGGTGCTGCCTTTCTTCACGTAAACTTCCGGGGGACCGGAGATTGATGCTTGAGCGTCTGGAACAGAAAGAGAACGCCGTCAAGATGATTGTGTCGATGCTTACAAATATCACCCCGTACAGTGTGTCTCCATCTAAATATTTGAAAAACTGCAAATTCTAGAAAAAAAGGTCCAAACAGGATTTGTGGGGAAAATGATGGTGACCTTGAAAATGACCTCGAAAGTCATTTGAAGAACAGGGGGATATTTTCATATGCAGTCTCCCCTTTCACATCGGACGTGAAAGGGGGATGAAGTTTTAGGTCCGAATATCATTTTGGCTATGACCTTGACCATGTCCTTCAAGGCTACTTCAAGGTCAAATCAAGACATCCGAAACAATTGACCATGACGTTGAACATGACCTCCAAGGTTGAATGACCTAAAAAAGCCGATCATTTTTTAAAAGCAAAAATGGAGAAAGCAGGTAATTTCACGTTCGAATGTGACTTTGACCTCAAATAACATTCAAGCTTGGCATGACTTTGGCTTCAAGGTCTAGGTCACGTTCGAATGTGAACGTGACCTGGACCTCAGTTTTTCTATTTCTAGTGTAAAAATGAGATATTTCTTTAGGACGATCTATACAAACCTATCAATTATGTCGAATATTTTTGCTATAGCAAAATGTTTCCAAAGTTTTCATTAGAAATGAAATGACCTTGGAAGAAACGTTTAAGATCATCATAGTCCCTCTATTTAAATATCTAAAAAACTGCAAATTCTAGAAAAAAGGTCCAAATAGGATGTGCCGGGTTTCGAGGGGGAAAATGATAGTGACCTTGAAAATGAGCCCCAAACTCATTTGAAATACAGGCGGATATTTATTTTCATATTCAGTCCCCATTCTCTATATTGGAAGTGAAAAATTTGTTCTAACAAAAATAATCAGCAGTACAATTTTAAGGGATGTGGTAATCACTCTGAGGTGACCTTGACAATGACCTTGAACCTGACCTCCAAGGTCGAATGACTTAAAAAAGTCGCTCACTTTTTAAAGCAGAAATGGAGGAAGCAGGAAATTTCACTTCCAAATGTGACCTCGTTACCTCAAACATTTAAGCTTGACACGACTTTGTCTTTAAGGTCTAAGTTACATGAACGTGAACTTTCCTGCTTTTCCTATTTCTAGTGTAAAACGAGAGGATTCGTTTGGATCATACTAACAAATCTCTTAATTATGCTGTCGCATATTTTTGCTATAGCAAATTATTTCCAAAGCCTTGATTAGAATTGGAATGACCTTGAGGGGAACACTTAAGACCATCATAGTCTCTTCTAAATATTTCAAGAACTGCAAATTCTAGAAAAAATGGTGTATGGGGTTTCGAGGAGGTGACCTTGAAAATCACCTCCAAAGTCAATTGAAGGACAGGTGGATATTTTCATATATAGCCCCCATTTTTCATATCAGAAGTGAAAAGAGAATGAAATTTGTTGTCCAAATATCACCTTGGCTATGACCTTGGCCACTAGGTCAAATCAAGGCATCCGCATCCTCAATTTGCTTTAACAAAAATGTTCGGCAGCGCAATGAAGGCTGTGGTTCTTATCCTAAGGTGGCCTTGACCATGGCCTTGAACATGACCTCCAAGGTCGAATGACTTAAAAAAGCCGATCATTTTTTAAAAGCAAAAATGGAGAAAGCAGGTAATTTCACGTTCGAATGTGACTTTGACCTCAAATAACACTTAAGCTTGGTATGACTTTGTCTTCAAGGTCAAGGTCACGTTTGAATGTGAACGTGACCTTGACCTCCGTTTTTCTATTTCTAGTGTAAAAATGAGATCTTTCCTTTGGGCGATCTTTACAAACCTCTCAATTATGTCGAACATTTTTGCTATAGCAAAATGTTTCTGAAGTTTTCATTAGAAATGGAATGACATTAGAAGAAACATTGAAGATAATCATAGTCGCTCTATCTAAATATCTCAAAAACTGAAAATTCTAGAACAAAGTGTAGTATATGCATGTATGTATAATTGCAGTATTAATATATAATCATACTGTATATTATAATGAATTCAGAATTAGCAAATTGTGTAAGTAGGTTAGTGAGATTGTTTAGGAATATAAATATATTATTATGTATACTTATAAACGGTGGTAGGCATAAACAATTGTGGAATGGAAGTGTATCATTTTTTGGGTTGGAAAATATAATTACTTTTTAGCTGGTCTTAAAGTAAGACCTATTATTTCAACTACCCCTAAATCCCCATACATTACAAAAGGTCCAAATAGGATCTGTCGGGTTTCAAGGGAAAAAATGATGGTGACCTTGAAAATGACCCCCAAAGTCATTTGAAAGACAGGTGGATATCTTCATATTCAGTCGCCATTTTATACCGGAAGTGAAAAGAGAATGAAACTGTATGTCCGAATATCACCTTGGCTATGACCTTGACCATGTCCTTCAAGGCTGCTTCAAGGTCAAATCAAGACATCCGAAACAATTTGTTTTAACAAAAATGTTCGGCAGTACAATTTTGAGGGCGGTGGTAATCACTCTGAGATGACCTTGACCATGACCTCCAAGATCAAATGACCTAAAAATCCGCTCATTTTTTAAAGCAGGAATGAAAAAACAGGAAGGTTGTCGTCAATGTCAAGGTCACATTTAAATGTGAACTTTCATATTTCTAGTGTAAAAATGAGAGGCTTTTTTCGGATGATCCTCACAAACCTCTCAATTATGCTTTCGAATATTTTTGTTATAGCAAATTGTTTCCAAAGCCTTCATTCGAATTGGAATGTTTTTGAGGGAAACAACTACGATCATCATAGTCTCTTCTAAATTTTTCAAAAACTGCAAAAAGGGTTTGTGGGGTTTCGAGGTGGAAAATGGTGGTGACCTTGAAAATGATCCCCAAAGTCATTTGAAGGACAAGTGGATATTTTCATATGCAGTCCACAATTTTTCATATCCAAAGTGAATAAAATTACATGTCCGAATATTACCTTGATTATGACCTTGACCATGCCCTTCAACGCTACTTCAAGGTCAAATCAAGGCATCCGACACAATTTGCTCTACCAAACATGTTCGGCAGCACAATTGTGAGGCTTGTGGTAATTATTGTAAGATGATCTTGACCATGATCCTGAACCTGACCTCCGAGGTCGAATTACCTAAAAAAGCAGCTAATTTTTTAAGCCAAAATGTGACCTTGACCTTAACATTAAAGCTCGAGACGACCTTGACTTTAAGGTCAAGGTCACGCTTGAACGTGAACTTTCCTGCTTTTTCTAGTTAGAACTAGTTTATGTAAAGCTGTTTATCTTTTCAATGGAGTTACTGTCAGTTTATTGCATCGTAATGAAAACATTTGTGGTGAGACACAGTATATTTGATTTACTACCGTAGCAATAATTGTCAACACATAATACGGTATGACCATGACCTCCAAGATCAAATGACCTAAAAATCCGCTCATTTTTTAAAGCAGGAATGAAAAAACAGGAAGGTTGTCGTCAATGTCAAGGTCACATTTAAATGTGAACTTTCATATTTCTAGTGTAAAAATGAGAGGCTTTTTTCGGATGATCCTCACAAACCTCTCAATTATGCTTTCGAATATTTTTGTTATAGCAAATTGTTTCCAAAGCCTTCATTCGAATTGGAATGATCTTGAGGGAAACAACTACGATCATCATAGTATCTTCTAAATGTTTCAAAAACTGCAAATTCCAGAAAAAAGGGTTTGTGGGGTTTCGAGGTGGAAAATGGTGGTGACCTTGAAAATGATCCCCAAAGTCATTTGAAGGACAAGTGGATATTTTCATATGCAGTCCACATTTTTCATATCCAAAGTGAATAAAATTACATGTCCGAATATTACCTTGATTATGACCTTGACCATGCCCTTCAACGCTACTTCAAGGTCAAATCAAGGAATCCGACACAATTTGCTCTACCAAACATGTTCGGCAGCACAATTGTGAGGCTTGTGGTAATTATTATAAGATGATCTTGACCATGATCCTGAACCTGACCTCCGAGGTCGAATTACCTAAAAAAGCAGCTCATTTTTTAAGCCAAAATGTGACCTTGACCTTAACATTAAAGCTCGAGACGACCTTGACTTTAAGGTCAAGGTCATGCTTGAACGTGAACTTTCCTGCTTTTTCTAGTTAGAACTAGTTTATGTAAAGCTGTTTATCTTTTCAATGGAGTTACTGTCAGTTTATTGCATCGTAATGAAAACATTTGTGGTGAGACACAGTATATTTGATTTACTGCCGTAGCAATAATTGTCAACACATAATACGGTATACGGTGGCTAGGTGGACGGACGGCATACCGCAGAAAGCGTTTACGTGCGTTCACAGGGATGACGTTCGTGGTCTAGGGAAACTGGAAAATGACCCAGAATCGGGCAGCCCACCACCGACTACCCAATATCGATTTGTTCCTAATAGGGTTTCTAGCTAAGTGCTTTCATGCTTAGCACAATTGCAGTCCAAAGGCAAATTTAACTTTTGTATATGTTCGATTTAACGTTAGAGGAACTAGATTTTTTCAAGCTCAACACCAATCTAAAGACAAAATTCTGAGAGATGCACATTTACTAAAAATACCAAAATTCTTATGTCTAAATTATCAGGTAACCAAATAAGTTCGTGCGGTTGCTGTATATCGCACATTGCCATGGATGTTGTTCATCGATAGCGATTGTTTATTACGTGTTGTCACTTTAGCATGAATCTTCTCTTCTCTCACACACATAAAAAGTTGCTGGAAACTGTTACATACCTAGTTTTGATAATTGAAAATGGCGACGAATAAAACAGGAATTTGAAGTTGTTTACTGGATGAGTACAAACCTGCAGCGGCGACGCTTAGCTAGGAAAGACGTGGGTCCCACAAATGATAACAAATTAATTCGTCTTACCAGCAAACATTTCACGCAACGCTAATGAACGATCGGTTATTAACCTGCGACGAAAAATGGATGTTGTATTCGAATTCTAAGCGTTCGTATCATTGGGTGTCGCCTACTGATTCGGTACCACA